GTTATGGTGCTGATTAATGCTTCAGATTCTCCTCTGATGATCTAAGCCACATGATCTGGGCAGAGAGAACTTTGCTGCTTTTATTTTATATGCATTATTTTTTTTTAGTGCTGAGATTTCAATCAATTATAGAAAGAAGCCAACTCCTATTATCAGCATCTCCTCCTCAACCACTGATAAGGTACCTACTGCAAATAGCCTATTCTCTTTTGCAAATAGTGAAGGGCATTCCAAAGCAGCCCAGCCTTACAAATGGGATCAAATCATTTCATTGACATCTGGAGGATTTGGTGGCAAGAAGCAGAACGGGACACAAAGCAACAGACAGACTTGTGAATAAGCCTGAATTTCTGGGGGAAGTCTATATAGGACTCCCTGCTCACTGCCCTACCACTTGTAGATGCCACCAGAATCATGCTGGCCATAGGCAGTGGATCACTCTGATCCCTTTCTTCCTCCATTCCCAAGCTACAGGACTACATTGCCACATTTGGGGGAAAGGTTGTGAAAAACATCCTATTTTTAAAGAAAAGAAACTTGGCAGGGGAGAAACATAGAGCCAAAGGCAGCCCCAAAAGTCACCTCATCACTACCAAGCCTCCAGTGGTGATCAGAAGCCCCCCCCCAAAAAAAAGTAAACTGGATCAAGAGCAACCTAGGACTGAAAAGTGAGCTGCCTTTCTTTTAGAATAATATTATACTCAAATCATGTCATTGACTGGGCAGAAAGAACTTGAAATTCAAAACATTGAAAGGAAAACCACTAATGTGAATTTGTTCATAAATTTAATTCTTAGAAATCTGGTTTCAATCCTTGGTTGTTATGTTTGCAATATTCACTTGATTCACCAGAGAGAGTGTGTTTGTGTTTGTGTTCATGTGTGTGTTCAAAATAGTCAAGACGGCAGCTGCCGGGCTGCACAGATGAACACATTGCCACAGCCACCGTCTTAATTTTTTAGACACCCCTCCCCACCTCATGGACATTTCTGCTCATTAACTCTTCCTGTGGCAGGATTCTTGGTTTTAACAGTAGGAGCACACAGATTTCTCCACAAATGGAATAGAAGAAACATACGCTTATTTTAAAATATCAAACGGAGGAGCAAGTGAAATTGTTCAATTCCACATGTGGGCACTTTTAATCTCTTTCTCATTCCACTCATTTTCCAAAGGTTTGGTCTGATATGATATTGTATCCATCTCCTTCAATCATGAAGAGGGATAATGTTCCACCACTACTGAAAGGTCACCATGAACAGCACAAATAAACCTCTCCGTGGACAAAGAGATCTTCATCCTTTGTGAGTCATGATATGTAAAGCCAAAGCTCATTCAGGTAAGCTCCTGAAACTGGACTAAGCTGTATTGCCTGGGGTTAAAATGTGTCTGGATATGAGTCACCATTCTTGGGATTGCAGTAGCAGCTAGACACACTGAAAGAGTCTCTCCTGAGTCTCTCCTACTGTCATGCCACCTGCAGGTTGCACACAACCAGCCAGAGAAAAGCTCCAAAGAGCACCCAGTGTAAGGAAGAGGGGGGGAGGGGGGGGAGAGAGAGAACTATACATTTGAGAGAGAGAGCACATGACAAGGAAAGCTCTTGTCTTTTTGATGGCATATGCAGTTTTCCCAGTTCTGCTGTGAAGAATGCCTTCCTGTTTTAAAGCAAATCAGCGAAGCTATCTCCTATAATATAAGGCTGAAGGCTACCAGTGTTATCCCTCCCAGGAGAAGATTGATTAGTTTCAGGATAGGAGGCTAACATTTAAGCCATTCCCAGGTGGGCAACCACTGAGAGTGCCCTTGGCCTGTGGCTGACTAGATTTGCTCTTCTCTTTATGCTGCCAATCAGAAATCTCACAAGCAGAAATATTTAGGCAACTCACATAGAGGGGCTTACATAGATCTCTAAGAGCTTACCTGGACCAGAACAGGCCAGCAACCATATTTGAAGATTAGAATGCTATCACATTGCCTCCTATTAACCTCCCACTCATTATCAAAGGTCAAAGCAACCTCTGCTGTATGTTTTTCGGCTTTACTTCTGGAACATTCTTTCCATATGATGTCATCTCAAATGATCCCATTCTTTTTGGGTAGCATGCTTCACTTTTTATAGCCCCCGTGGTCCACTTCACAGAGCCAGCAATGATTATTCAATTGACTTGATGGTTGCTACAATTTCTAATAGCTTTTAGAGTTACCAGGAAATGCTGGAAAAGCACAATGGTTATACTTTCCTTGTAAACAGAAGGGTGCTAGTTTGAAATCTGACAGATTGTATATTTTAAAATATATTACTATATTTTATTTCTCTGAGCTACCTAATTATTGTTGTACCCTCTCATAATTTGTCCACTCACCAGAGGTAGAAGACTTTTACCTCAGCTTCCAAATATTACATCTACCTGTACCTATACTAACACACACAGACATCCAAATACAAACGCATAAATCCAGTAAGACTAACCCACAGGAAGGAAAAGTAACCCATAATCTCATATTTTCTTTGTCTTTTTCCTGGGCAGATGGATATATAAAGAATATTAAACTGCAATCAATCATCATATTACTTTGGGGTTAGATGAAGAGTATAGTACAGAACAGCTGGACCAAAGAGATTAACGCATGAAGAAACAAAGGTGGAGAACATTCAATGTTCCAACAGCATATGGAACATTCAATGTTCCAACAGCGACCCCAAGGGGGAGGGCCTTCTCGGTGGGAGCTCCCACCCTCTGGAATGAACTACCCCCAGAGATCAGGGTGATCCCTGATCTCCCTTCCTTCCGCCGCGCCCTTAAGACATGGCTATTCCAGCTTGCAGGACTGGCTAGGGGAAATTTTTAGTGGGGGTTTTAAAATAATTTTAAATTAACTTGGCCAAATGTTAATATTGTCTTTTAATTATGTTCTTAACTGTAGTGTTTGGTATTTTTGTAGTGGTTTTATCTGGCTGTTAGCCGCCCTGAGTCCGCAAGGAGAAGGGCGGGATATAAATATAATAAACATCAACATCAACAACATATCTCACATGATTACATGATCCTTCCAGGATGTTCTGTAGAAGGGACTCTGCAAGGAGTCTACTCTATGCTGCTGCTTGGTTTAGAAAGGAAATACTTTTTTTTACTGAAAAGATGAGAATCAGCTGAACGTTGTTCTTGCAAACTGGCATGGACATCGTATTTGCTTCCAGCAAGATCTGTGACAATACTTTTACAACTTTAGTTATATGATGTAGGAAGAGCAATATGTGCCATGTGTTTTGCAGTCCTGAGGCTGACTTCAAGTGTAGGAAACAATCTCATTTCACTGTTGAAATTTGATTAGATTTATACATGGGAAAGGCTGAGCACTGCATTACAAAATTACAGATATTATTAGATTGAGTTGTAATCTTGTTTATTCATTTCACTATTCTTTAACTCTAAAATTGTACTGATAAGAGGCATTTGTTTTGTCATTTCCTCACTCCCTTGGCTGTTTATGTTTATGTACCCATAAACAAATTCTGTATGTAATATTTTTCCTAAATTAAAAAATCTACAACTGCTAAATTTCTGCATATAAGCACATTTTAAAGATCCTAAAACCATCCATTAATTATTTATTAAATAAAATCACATCCTTTTATTCAGTGTTAATTAATGCATGATAACGTCCTTTTCTCACCCACACACTCAAAAGGATGCATTTGAAAGGATAGCACGTATTTTTTTAAATCCAATAGTTATATATCCAATTTAAATTGATACCAATATGTTATCCTTTGCAGAATTAGCAATTGGGAGAATAACATATATGTTTCCTAACTCCACCCCAGTGCCAGTAAATATCCATTTATTACAGTTTGATCCCAATCCTGGGTTCATCTCCAGGCATTTTTAGCTTCCTCCATTTCCTATATCAAAATCAAATTGGCCGTAAAATGGAAACTGAAAATTTTTCATATACATCCATAATTGCATACATGAATTATTGCTTAGTTGTACTTAGAAGAGGAAACTGACCAATGTGTTAAAAAAAATCTCTCTGATCTTAAACATATTTTTATCATTGTTCTCTTCCCAGTACTATTACTTCCCTACCATCCATTCTTGGCATCCTTTATTTATCCTTTGTTCAAGAAACCCACTAGTCAGAATACAGTTAAAAATACAGTTAAAAACATTCTGCTTCCCAACCTCACAAAGAGTGACAGAATCCTTCTCTCAAATCAGACAGTCTTATTCTTATTATATTTGGATTTCCCAATATTTCCTATGTGGAATTATTTAGAAAAGCCATACACAGAATAATCAGAACATAATCCAGGCCTAATATTTAGCATACAACACACCAAACACCAGAAAGAACTGAAATCAAAGCCAATGCAAAGGAGAATGAATAGGTTCAGGTAAGAATTTAATACCTCAATGTGGTGCCTCATTTATGAATTATTAAAAGGGGTCTATACAACATCATTATCCATTTATAACAATACTACATTTTTTCCATTGAATTTTTTGTATGTTTTCCATAATATTCCATTGGGGAAGAAAAGATGGAATAGCTTCATAATGTTGTCAATTTATTTGTAATATAGGTAGTCTTTGACTTATAACCAAAACTGAGCCAAAATTTCTGTTGCTAAGTGAGGCAGTTGTTAAGTAGATTTTGCCCCATTTTACAACATCTCTTGCCAAAATTGTTAAGTGAATCACTGCGGTTGTCAAGTTGGTAACATAGTCATTAAGTGAATCTGGCTTCCCCATTGACTTTGCTTATTTTTATTTTTATATAAAGCAGATGTCAATCCAATGGTCATCCATGGGTTGGACAAATGTATTAAAGCTTTTATTAACAAAGTTCAATGAAACATGATTTTGAAAAGAAATAGTTCTTGACATTTTTGAAATTTTAGTTCCTTGCTGTGCAACACAATCTTAGAGATATATGAAAAAATTCAACTCCCATCTCTGACTAGGACTTATCTCTCAGGCTCTAGTTCTTACCGGATAGGAATCTTGACTCGGAGATAGCGATCCACAGCAATCGCCAATAATGCCAAGATGGAACTTTCTGTGAGGATGAGGAGAGGACATATCAATATCAGGCAGCTGTAGAAACATATTTTTGGTCCTATGTAGATGACGATGGCCAGAGGAATTGCAAGTGTTCCCACAGCTGCATCTGCCACTGCCAGAGATACAATAAAGTAGAAGGTGGCATCCCGGAGAGACTTGTTCACTTTGACAGCCCAGATCACTAGGATATTCCCAGGGATGGATATAAGGGCAATCAGCACCTCTATGATGATATAAACAGCGTTGTTCTGCATGGTGTTGTGATGCTCACTAGCTGCAGACCTTTAAATTGCCTGAAATGATTAATGGAGACATAAGATATGGTCAACAATAAGTACTACAGAATTTCAAGCTATCCAGTTACTTTATAGAATGTGGAAAATATATACGCAAATATACACATTTTTCACAATCTGTATTTATTAAATCTTACAAGAGTTTCTGGTGCAGGGGAAGTCTACATTTTAAATCCTGCACAATTACAGCCTTTTGTGTAAGCAGCCCTACTCCAATCTATCACCAAGAATTTCACATATTGAATACTGTATGTAATATGAGTCGAGTTACTGCACAGAAAAACTTTTCTTCCATCAAACAAATTGCTACAATTAAGGCTGAGTTCTTCCTTGCTGCTTCATTTGATCCCATCCATTCTGTTCAGCAATCACATAGAGTTCAACTGGTAACATCTAGAGGACACTGCTGATTCACAATCCCATGAAGCCTTCCTTGAAGAGATCACTCTTCTTGAATGCCTGCAGATATATTGATATCTGTAATATTCATCCGCTCTATAAAATTGTTACCTCCTTGCCTTCAAGAGCAAAGAAATCCCAAAATGCAACAAGTCCGTGAAAGGACTTCTTCACATGTCTGATTACCTGAGAGAAAGCCACACTCAGAAAATAACACAGAGACTGGGGTGCACAGGTTTATCTCCCAACATTTTTTTTTTACCAATCTGATCCCTACCTGACTGCATTTGATGGAGTTTCTATTATTTTGCTATCATAATCCCAACTAAGTCACTGTGGTGTAGTGGTCTTAGTGCAGACCACTGGAGGAGACCTAGATTTTAGTCTTATTTTACCCAAGGAAGCTAGCTAGTGATTATAGACCAGTCATTCTCTCTCAGCTTACTGGGTAGTTGAAAGCCACATATCTACCAACTGCAACAGAGCAATGTGGTAGATTACTGTCCATGATTTTCAATAAATGATCCCAATAAAAAGTCATAGATTTTAAACTGTAAAAACAATTCATTAACCCAATATATTTTAGCAACAAGCAATATAATTAATTAAAAGGGAGAAAACACTGTTAAACTTATTCAGATATGTAAAAGCCAACAAACAAGAACATTAAAAATATGTAAATATAGGGGAGGCCTGTGAATCAGCTAGACATCCAAAGTCAAAGATTATGGATACCTGATATACATAAAAGTGTCTCCTATGTTTATGAGGATGATGAAGAAGGCTAATAGGTCTTTGGCCCTATGAACAATTTTTATTAGAATAGCAAGGAGTTACTCCAGGGCTGTCAATTTATGTGACTGATCCCTTGCTCCTATTTTGCATGAACTGCATTACTTCAAAGAAAAATTGAGAACCCCTAAGATCGTGTATAAACTTGTGCATTGTTGATCTATGGAGCTGGGATGTGCAACTTTTTCAGGATAAAGGCCCTCATATTGCCTTTGAGTGGAATGTCTAAGATTACAGTATCAAAAAAGTAAGTACGGTGTTTAACTTTTTTTCCCCACTTCATACGTATATTTTATTTAACTAAAAGCACTTCCACATAAGGGATTTACATTTCTCCAAAATAAGTTCACCACCTACATGATTTTACACAGTCTGTGTTCTCAGGTGATTTATTTCCAGCTCAGTTGCAATATATCCAAAATCACAAAAGTGGAATATTTTCAACTGCATGTTGAAACTCCACAGAACATGTCAGCATAACATTATTCTGTTGGTAGGAAGTTGCTTCATTGTGCCTTCTTGGTATTTGGGCTCAAGCAGCTTCTTCCTCCTTCTTTCATAAGTTTGGCTGCCATGGGGCCTTAGCAGCTTTGCATCTCCCCTTCCCCAATAGCATTGTTTTGTTTTCATTACTAGGGAAACACACACTACACAAACTCAAGATCTAGAAGGAAAGACACTGACTGCTTTTCTTAGGCTCTCTTACTGCAGAACTGAAAAGCAAAACTGAACTCAGCATTTCAACTGCTGACCTGAAAATATGCTCCTACATTAAGAAGTACAAGCTGGTAATAAGCTGAAGGCTTCTGGGACCCACAAGTGACATTGGAGATCCTGATTTGTTTATTTATTACATAAATGCATATACGGCTTATTACTGAATGAAATTTAGAAAAACAGGATGCACATAATAAAAACAGGAGCAAGCAATTTACCTAAAAGGCAGCCAGCAACTGTTATGTCCCAAGCACATGGCAAAAGAGCCAGATTTTAAAAGCAAAGTGGTTCAGGGCATTCCCTATCTCTCAGGAGGCAGAGCATTTCAGAGGAAGATGTGTCATTTTCTTGCTTCCTAACACCCCTGCCCCTTTACTTCACAAGGAATGGGGACCCTCCCTCATCTGTCCCTGCAAAAAAAGAGGGGATGGGCCAGAACTTGATGGATGAGATGGTTCTCAAGGTACCTGGCAGCCAAGCCATGAAGGTCTTTAAAGCTGATCACCAGCATTTTGAATTGGATCCAAACCAATTCACTTGTGCACGTCTGCTGCAAAGTGGTGAATATGGCAGAACCTTGCACTTCTCAAACATTAAAATGCATTATTTTACTGCAGTCCTTGACTTATGACCACAATTGGGACCAGAATTTCAGTTGCTAAGTGATGCAAAAACCAATTTTGCAACCATGTTTACCATGGGCATTAAGCAAATTATGCAGTTTTTGAATGAATCCTGGGAAGGTTGCAAATGGTGATCGTGTGACCTCAAGATGCTTCAATTGTCATAAAAGTGAGCCAGTTGCCAAGCCCCTGAATTATGATCACATGACTACAGAGATGATGCAACAATCATAATTTTGACGACAGTCACTTTTTCTGAGACTGCTGTAACTTCAAACCATCATGAAATTAATGGTCATAAGTCAAGGACTACCAGAGGAACAAGTTCCCCCTTTTTTCAATTTATCGTGATTTCTCAAGCCTGCATCATGAGCATGTTTATGTTGTCACTTTTTTAGGCTTATCCTAAAAAGACCCCTCGTCCAATTTTCCATTCCATTACTTATTTCATAATCATAATGATAGAATAGACTGCCACTGGAAATGGGTTATGATTCCCTTGTACAAACAGTATTTAATTAAAGATTGCTGTAGTTCTCTCCTGCATTATAGAATCTGAATTAAACAGGGACTTGGTCCAGATCAGGTGTCCCCAAACTCTTCAACTCATACACTCCTTCATAAAATTTCAGATTGCTCATCAACTCCCAAATATATTATACAAGAATAATTGAATAAAAATTACTAATAGTATTCAAATAATTATAGCTCAATAATGTGACAGGTACCTGCTGCATAACATACCAGATTTAACAACTGTTGATAAGAAAGACACAAAAAAAATATGGGTAGTGGATATGGCTGTACCAGGAGACATCAGAATAGAAGAGAAAGAAGTGGAGAAGATAACAAAATACAAGACCTCAAATAGAAGGTGGCAAAAGCAAGCAAAGGTAGTACCAATAGTAATATTGTGTTTCCCCGAAAATAAGACCGGATTTTATATTAATTTTTGCTGTAAAAGACGCATTATGGCTTATTTTCCAGTTAGGTCTTATTTTCAGGGAAATACAGTACTAAATGCTTCCGTCTGGCTGACAATATTAACGGGCTTATTTTTGGGATAGGGCTTATATTATGAGCATCCTGAAAAATCATGCTAAGGCTTATTTTCCAGTTGGGTCTTATTTTTGGGGAAACACGGTAGGCGCCTTGGGTGCAATCCCAAAACAACTGGAGCACTACTTGAACACCATCGCCATTGACAAGTTCACCATCAGTCAATTACAAACAGCAGCTTTACTTGGAACAGCTTCCATCCTACAATGACACCATCAAACATCTCCATCTGCCTCTCCCAAGTCCTTGGGAAAGATTTGATAGATGGATAAAAATGCCAAATCCAGCCTGAATTATGTGATGAACAATAAATATGAATAGTCCCATAGGCCCTTAAAGGTTGATAATTACTTTGGGGAACTCTGATCTAGATAACCATCAACATCATTCCAACACTTTGATTCAGCATCACAGTTTTTCCTCTATTTATGAGCTATAGTACAATTTTGAGCTGGCAATCACCTTACTTTTGCCCTGTGATTATTATAGATTTTAAGTCAGCACTGCTGTCAAATAGATGGACAGCATGTCTATTTCATCCTTCTTTTCATCAAAGATGCCAGGAAGAGTTGAATGTGGATATTTTGCATGCAATGCATATGCATGCAATACCAATGAGCTACCCCGTTCTTTGATCTTCTCATCTCTCCTACAAATGTAGCAATCAGAGAAGATTTATTCATCCTATAAATATAATAGAATATCCTGTCCCCCAAATAATAGGTAGAGTTCATAAACTGGTTGTAGTTTCCATCTAAAAATAAAATGGGGATAATATACAAGTCCTCATAGGAAATGGGAAACAGAGCAGTCCAGAATAACTATAAACAATTCCTAAACATTGGCAAATAAGGAGCGGTGTAATTTGTAATTAATCATATTAATATTCAGTAGTCACATCAATAATTACAAGCAGTGTATTGCAGATGTCAGTATCAACAGCAATGAAAGCATAACTGAGGGAATGAATAACTACACTTCTCCAGGTATGACAATTTGTGCTTTTTATTCTTGAAAAAAAAGTGATTCCTCTGTGAGACAATGGCAACCTTGGAGGGAAGAAATGCAAATTATGCTTAACAAATGAGATGCAAATGTGAACGTATTAAGCAAAGAATAGGCTTTATCACAATATAGACCTTGATGCTATACAAGTTCCTTTTTTGTCCCATTATATAGTTTCTCGTTAAACTGGTGTGGCATATTTTCAACCTGTACTGGGAAAGGCTATGCATTGGGGGGGAGGCAGAGGAAGCAAGGCTTCAGGAATATGCCGGCAAATGTTTCAATATATTTGTGCAAGATATTTTTGAGCAACAAAGGCACCTCTTGAATAAATCCTGAAACATTACTTGTTCCCATTTCCATTCCAGAACACCTTTGAGCCTGTTTTTTTCCTCTTCTGCAGAGTTCCCTCCACCAGAAACCCGGCACCGCCATCCTTATTTTATTACATTTTAGAAACATCCTCTCTTTACGCTCTGAAGGAATAAGTGGTTGTATGCAGCCTAAGAGCTAAACGAGGAGGCTCAATGACAAAATAATGCAGATACCCTCTAAGATACTGCTGCCCATTTGCGTTTTCTACTTGGAATACATTCATTTGGGTGAAAATATCAGGGGAGCATCCTCATCCCTGGCCTGGTGCTGTTGAAGCGTTAGGGATTACATTGTCTATCAAGCACAGGGGAGTGAAAGTCTAATCTATCTGAAAGGCATCAGGTGCAGGGAAGGCTGGGAAGCACTTTCAAGGACTGGCACAAATCTTCCCGCCCTTCAGAGAGAGGTCTGGTTAATCGGAAGAACGACCACGGCCTGATCCACCACCACCCCCAGCCCTCCTTTTCCCCGAGAGTCGCCCCGTTAATCTGACTGTCCCCCAACCTCTCCCTGCCCGGCTTACAGCTGATCTCAAAACAAAGGCGCCCCCTGCGTTCCTGCCTCTCTTCGCTGCCGCGCGGTCCCGACCAGGAGCTTAAATCCTTTGACTTCAGGCAACCAAGAAAGAAGCGAGATCACCGAGTGCCAGAAAGCGCTGCGCCCCGAACAAGTCCGCGCTCCGAGGCTCACCTGGCCCCCCGCGCACTTTCTTCCTCCAAGCGAAGCCTTCCCACTCAGGACAGGCTGGCAGCGGCGGCTGCGGCGGGGGCGGCGGGAGAGACGGGGTGGGAGCATCCTACTCGCGGGCGGTTCGGTTCCTGGGCTCCTGTATCTCTTGGCATCTGAGGATGCAAGCAGCTCGGCCGGCTGCCGGCCGGGACGTCTGGAGTTGGGGCGGTTCACTGCGGTGAATCCGGACCCCGATGCGGGCAGGCGGCTCTCATCCCGACGCCTGCTCTCCCTCCCGCTGACGACCGAGGTATCACATGGTCCACCGAACAGGGTCCTTGCGGTATTTTAAAGAGGAGTCGCCTGGTTTGAGGGTCGGTAGGGCGCAGTGCGCAAGCGCGCGTGTCCGGGAGTTTGGGGGTGTGTTTGCAGAGCCCGGAATCGCATCGGCGCCGCTGCACCAGAACCGCGCCGCACCGCGCCGCTTTCGCCTCTGCCCCAGGAGCTGAAAGGCAACCTTTCTGATTTAGGGTTGCCAGGTGTCCACTATTTGAGTGGACCGTCCACTTTTTTCACATTATGTTCACTATTTTTTTTTCACAAAATAGTGGACATTTTTTTTATTCAAAAGCTTTATGGTACGTAATCTAAAGCTGTACAGTCTACTTTTTTTTACTACTTAACACCACCCCCCCCCGCTTGTCCGCTATTTTTGGGAAGCAGACCTGGCAACCCTATTTCTGAAACTGAAACGGAGCTGAGTCCCGGAGATGCCCTGCTCGCCTCCTTGCCCTCGAGTTGCCAGAAGCCTTCAAAGTTACTCAGCGCTTCTAAGGGCCGACTCTGCCCTGACCCTAACCCCCTCCTCCGCTCCTTTCCGCTTCACCTGTGCCGACTTATCTTAGGATAAAAAAAACAAAAACAAATTCAAAGCAAAGTGCTGAAAATAATCAAGGCTTCCGTTGTTGTTGTTGTTAGTTGTGAAGTCGTGTCCGAACCATCGCGACCCAGTGGACAACGTTCCTCCAGGCCTTCCTGTCCTCTACCATCTTCTGGAGTCCATTTAAGCTCACGGCTACTGCTTCAGTGACTCCATCCAGCCACCTCATTCTCTGTCGTCCCCTTCTTCTATTGCCCTCAATCTTTCCCAGCATCAGGCTCTTCTCCAGAGGCTTCCGCTAGTGCAGCGGTTCTCAACCTATGGGTCGTGACCCCATTTGGGGTCGATCGACCATTTCACGGGGGTCGCCAAGGAAGGCTGTCCGCCATTTTTTCCCCTTTTCCGGCGGGTGCCTTACTTCCCTTGAGTTGGGCCAGCTGGTGGTTGGCCTGCTCCGTCTCCGTCGCTTGCCAGCTACGCCTCGGCCGGCGCAGGGGACAGAACCACGCATGCACGGCACTCCCGGGCAGGGAAAGTCCTTGACTTACGACTGGTTTAGTCTTCGACTTACGACCGGTTTAGTCCTCGACTTACGACCGGTTGGGGGTCGCGGCATTAAAAAGGTTGAGAACCACTGCGTTAGTGTAAAGCAGGGGTAGTCAACCTTGGCTCTTTTATGACTCGTGGACTTCAACTCTCAGGAATTCTGAGCGTTGAAGTCCACGAGTCATAAAAGAGCCAAAGTTGACTACGCCTGGCACTGTAAAGCATTAACGTGTTGGCAGGCAAGAGAAAGGCTTCCACATGAGCCCCGGAGTTCTTGGGTATCTCCCCTGATCCCGACCGCCTTATCTGTGGCACTGGTGAGGGGTTCACCTAACTCCCAGTCGGTGACTCGTCTGGCCCCTAGGAAAGACCTTTTGGCCTCCTGGGATTTAACACCGGTTCAGCAGGTGCTTGTGCTGTTTTTAACTCCTGCTCTTATTGTTCTGCAGTTGTACTGTTCTTGATTCTGTGTTGTTTTACAAAGGGCCTCGGAAACCGGTCTTCAAAAGTAATGTGACCTTGTGTTGTGAAATAACATAATCTCTTGCTGGTTGGGAGAGATTGTAGGGAGTTGGAAGAGATCTCAAAGATCCTTCTATCTGTGCAAGAAATCTACTACTATGGTATTTCTAAATAAAATAGAACATAACTTTTACTGAATGTTACTTGAATGGAAATTTAGGCTAGAATCAGATCAGCAGTAGAGTGAGAGGGAGATCTAAAATTAAAAGCATTGAATTGTATAAATAAGGTGTGACAGTTATTTGAGAATGTCAGCAAGCAAATGCATGAAGAGTATTTAGAGAGGTCCACCAAAAGCCGGAATCAATTTAGCCATCATAAGGTCTAAACATTCTTTGTTGAATGGTTTGCTTTATATGGCTGTCCTTTGTATGGCTGCCCATCTCACTAAGTGACTCTGGATGGCAAACAAAATTTAAACAATACAAACAATTAGAATAATGTGAACATTAAAATACAGAGCAGCCAAGAACAAAGCACCCATCATAATGACTAAATACATTAGGTCTTACTAATACGTAATTTCTGCAAAGGAGAAATGCAAACAATCAAATTCCTCAATTACAACTTTTGAAACTAGCATTTTTATTTTTCTTCATAAATGATCTAGAGCAGTGGTGGCAAACCTTTTAGAGACTGAGTGCCCAAACTGCAACCCAAAACCCATTTATGGGTGCCAGGTGGGCGTGGCTGACTGGGTGGGCGTGGTTGCGGTGGTCACGACCAACTGGGTGAGTGTGGCCATAGGTGGTGTGGACACCTCAATGATGCTTGTTGGGAGGGATGCCTGTGAGGGCCAGGCAGGGTTGGGGGAGATCCAGGGGGTCTCTGGCGGGTGGGGTGGTGGGCTGGAGGCTCGTCCTGTGGGGCAAGACAAGGCAGGGCGGGTGTGCCAATTGCCGCGGGGCAAGGCAAGGTGAGGCAGAGGCCGGAACAGCTGCTGCCTGACACCATCAGCCCCCCCACACAGAGGCCAGCGAGTGCATGGGGACTGACGGTGTCTGTCAGTAGCCACAGCCTACTGGCTGTCCTGCATCATGGCAGCCCCATCGGCTTGGGCAGAGACAGCCCCGGGATGGCCAGAAAGGAGCACTCATCTGGTGCGGGCTCTGTCTACACAGTAGCTCTGACGGGGGGAAGCAGTTGCTGCTCCTGCTGCTGCTTCGAGCCCCTTGACTTGCCAACCACACAGGGAAGCAAGAGGCAGCAGCACTGATCCCTGCATCGCCAAGCCTGGCTGGCAGCAGATCTGGAAGTAAAGCTGTGGCACCCATCCTCACGCTGGTGGAGGCAGCGGCGGGGGAAGATGAGCTGTGGCACACCCCCACCCCCCCCTCCCCGCTACCACCCCACATCGTCCTGCATGCACGGCCCAGAGGCGCACGTGGGACGGTGTGGGAAGCAGCGGCAAAAGGTGGGCGCATGCCCGATCCTGCCTTCCCCCGCCGCTGCTGCCCTCACCAGCGCGAGGATGGTTGGCACAGCTTCGGCCACAGCCTGCTGGCTGTCCTGCATCATGGCCGCCCCATCAGCATGGGCAGAGTGCAGCCCCAGGATGGCCGGAAGGAAGGGACGCATGAGGGAAGCAGGAGGAGGTGGAGGAGCAGTCGGGGGTCTGGAGCCGCCTCGGCTGCTTGCTAGCAGCCGGATAAGGTAGTGGATCTCGCGCACCAGCTGCCCCACCAGCAGCAGAAGCCGCCCCCGTCAGATCCGTCGAGAGGATGGGCCCAGGCCGGGCAAGGGCTTCCTTCCAGCCGTGGGCTGCACTCCGCCTACGCCGATGGGGCTGCCATGATGCAGAATGCAACTGTCCAAAGGATATGTGGTCTTAACAGCTCACAGGCTTCTTAGAGGCTCCTCGGAGGAAGCTGCTGGCCAGTCTGTTTGAGAAGCAGGAGGAACAAATTAGGCTTTCATCACTTTCTTACATTTTTAAAAAGCATCATTTTGATCTAAATTGGAAGTTATATAGTTTGGGACTACAATTTTGGATATGATGGCAGAGATTTGTGAATACCGTCCTCATCTCTACTAACTTCTACAAATAACGCCCACTCAGATCCCAGCCTAGATTTGGCGGGGGGGGGGGGAACAGCCAGAATTTTAAACCACACATTTTTATCAAACAAATATTCCCCACACTTCATGTATCATGGTATAATTAGGGAGCTGGCTGAATCTTGAGCAGGTTTTTCCCCCCAGCCTATTCCACCCTATGTTCAGATAATTTGGGAATGGGTACTATGTCACATATGGTACCATGAGTTCTTTGGATGAATGCAGTATATAAATGCAATAAATAAAGAAACATCAGAGCAATTCACAGAGTGTTGGTGGCTCTATTTCTGTGATGTCATAAACAACTTCATTCCTAGGAAGGGATTAAGACATATTTCCTGTTATAACCATTTCTGTTGCAGAATAGAAATGCTCACAGTTCATTAGAATAGAATTCATTATCTGTTGTAATAGGATGCCAGTCCCGCCTATAAAATCACACATACACATTTGCTTCAAGTCTCCACTGTATGCAAGTTTTTAAATTTGTTATTTTTAAAGCTATGTAATGTTTGCTGCATAAGTATTGCCATCACTCATTTGCTCCAGTGCCAGGAGATGCTTTCCTAAAAAAAGTTCTAGGCACCATGAGCACATAGATGTAAATCAGCAACTTACAAACAGTATGAATTATTGCTGTATTATATATATGGTATATTCTGATGCTTAATTAGGACTATTTATCAAGAGACATACACAGCTGGACTTATTGTAAATGCTTCTGGGTTTGTACATCATGTGGAGCCATGTGGAGCTAAGAATCAGATGGAGAGGTTGTGTAATTGTTTGAATATATGTTTTTCTTTCCAATCAACTCATATCCAGCCAGATTTTTGATGGCACTATAAATGGCTCCTGAGATATCACCTGTGCATCCATACAGGAATGGCATATAGAAAGGTTCACAATGTACAGTTCTGTAATTTCTTTTTTTATGTGAACATTATGTGGACCTAGCCACTGTTTTACATCATGTTTGTGTGAACCCTGTAAATGTAGGCTTATTTAACAAAACATGGTTAAACAAACCACAGTTTGCTG